GCTTTACCCATGTGGAGCAATATTTATCTCAATGCCACTCAGCAGCCAAAATTCACACAAATGGATGGTGGTATCAGGGTGCTGATTTGCTTCATAATTTTAACAGTGGATAATTTTCCCTTCAGATTTACCTGTGCCATGACCTGTGGAAGAGTCTCTGAGCCCAAAAGCTTATTTGGGTTTTCTTTCTGTATTAGCTGGTTAAAAGTCAAGTTTTCTTGCAAATATTGCTTCCCATTTCTTAGACCGTCATGGCTTAACCGAATGTTAATACCATGTCTGTATTTTTTTTTTTTTTGTACTTTTAGGTAATATCTACTTTCAATTTCAGTGATGTTTCAGCTTTTCCTTCCTATATAATAAAGGATATTTTTCTGTTCCTGCTTTCTTCGGCTTGCTTTTTTGAGTCATTGGTCTGTGAACAGGGAATGAAAATTGTGTTGTTCTTCCAGTTGATTTTCTTTCTGTGTCTGCTGCTTTTGAGACTTGGTCTCTGTCCTTGGATTGTAAGAGAGTTACAGCAGTAATAGAGGTTTGGTGTTTCTTCTGGGAACTCCTCATGTTGCTTTTTTTTTTTTTTTTCTTAGAAATTCACCTTCTTTAATATTTCTTTAGACTATCCATGGAAAAAGACTTTTCCTGTTAGTAAAAAGCTGCTCATGGAAAAAGACTTCTCCATGGATAGTGGGTGTGCCATCTGCACTTTTACATGGGTCCTATTGGTTTGAAGAGGTGTATGGTGCCGTAGGTACTCTGGAGAGCTTTTTTATTATTTCATTAATTATGAAGATTAATAAGACAAAAGTGTTCCACTTCTTTTCCCATCTGATATTGAAATACAGTTAAGAAAAAGCCTAACTGGAAAGCCAACATTTTCATTCTTGTTGATCATTCCTAGAAGTTTAAAATACCTTTTCTGGAGCATTTGTCTCGTGTGAATCTCTTTCTGAGTGTCATCAGGCAGTCTATTATCTGCTTAATCTAAATAAGCAGCAATTAGACAAACTGTTATTGTTTCCACTCTATAGGCCTCAGGGCTTCATGGGCAAAGATGTGGCTCTCCAGATAATAGGAATAGTTAGAACTGGATCTTAGGTAGTAGAATGTGAAAAATTGCTCTTGAGATGATAGGCGATAGAAAAAAACAAACACCTAAAAAATCCCAACTGGTGGTTAACATGGAATGAAAATATTTCAAATTCCGTTTCAAGAGAAAATATCACAAGAAATTATCTTTTTACATTCAAATCCATATCCTCAAATTCAAACTATTCTCTGCTGTAGTGTTTCTTTAAATAAAATGTTTCAAAATAAAGTGCATTGCATATCAGAAAATATGATTTCTCAAGTGGGCTTTATGTTTGTTGGATGGAGAACACTCAGTATTGGCATATCAAAATGAGTTGTCAAGAAGATATCAAGCAGAAATAAGTCAGAACAAGAGTATTTCAGTTACTGAAACAGAGTCATCTTCTCCCTCTTCACAGTTTAGCTCAGTCTTTCAAAGTGACCTTTCAGTTAGCTCACTGCTAGCAGAACCAAAGGATATTCATACACTCATAGAATAGTTAGGGTTGGAAAGGATCTTAAGATCATCTAGTTCCAACCCCCCTGCCATGGGTGGGAATGCCCCACCCTAGACCATGACATGGTCACACCATGACTTGGTGACACCCAAGTCTTTATCCAAACTGTCCTTGATCACTGCCAGGGATATTGTGTTTTTCATTCAGGATGTGCTGACTCAGCCTTGTGAAATTCAAGGTCAGAATTCAGAAAAAAAAAAAAAAAGAAATGAAGAGCCTTGAATGAAAAAAAGTTTTAATTTCATCTGCCATGAATTCATTGTTCCAAGTCAGCCAAAACTCATTCTCCCTAAAGACCCAGTCCCTAATACTGGGTTTCATCAAGTCTGGATCTTCTCAGCTCCCTTTGGTCCAGTGCAAGGACATACTTCCTAACCTACACTATGTACTTGCAGTATTTCCCTTTGGAATATGGATCACAGGAATTAACTTGGATCAACAGCTAAGACAGTAAAATGTCTCTAGACTAATTAATAATAGATATTCTCAAAAGAAGTGTTTCCTGAGGCAAAAAAAAAATACCTGAAGAAATTGAAAGTGACGCTGACATAAACAATTGTATTTAGATTTGTTACAGTAGTAACCTAAGGCACAACCTAAACATTTACAGAAATAGCTTGAATTCTACCTTTTTTTTCTCAGAGAAAAAAGCTGCAGATCTAGCTGACCTACCGTCTACAAAGTATAGTCTGCTATAAAACATTAATCACCCTAATTCCATATCAAATATACGCAGTGTACAAATCAAATATGTTGTTCAGTTTTCCAAGCTGCCATCTTTAAAAAGTTATCCTGGGATCTTCTAATTAAGCTTTTCTGTGTCTATAATCTACATTATCATCACCAGTAGTGATGTTTAATGTTCTGAAGCTTGTTCCTGGTTTTGATAAAGAGATACAAGAAAGCAGAGATAAAACACATTCATCTGCTCTTTTAAAATTAAACTTCTATTAAGTGAAATCCAGGAATATGTTATTTCTATCATCATCTGGATGTATAATTGCCCATAGTGCAAATTTCATATCTTCTTTCAAAATACGTGATTCTTGACATGATTGTAGAGAGAATAGTAGATAAGATGGGGCTCTGTTTTGTCAGCCCTCCCTTTGTTCCTAAGCTAGCCACATGCTCTCCAGCCTGCAAAAAAAGAATTGGAAAGGAACCTGTACGTTTTAAGAACTGATCTATTTAAACCATACATCTAACTGTGGACAACAGTCAAGATCAAGCAAGAGTGGTTGAAAAAGGTTGTTTTTTTTTTGTGAGGGCATTTTGTTTGATTTAAGCAGCCCTTGCTATCCCTCTTATTCTCTCTTTCTCACCATCCCCTTAATGTGTGTGTAGCACAGCATCAAGCTGCGAACTGTATCAGGGAACTGATGCGAAGGTTAAAAAGAAACAAACTGAGATGCATAGTAGATGGTGACGAAAAATGAAGGGCAGAAGAGGGGCTGCTTAAGCAAGCAAAACTGCCAGAAGAGATGCTTGTTAAAACATGGCTTGATGGACAGTTGATCAGGGGTTTCCAAGGTTGTGAGTTATTACATATATACCTGTTTCCCTTTGTAATTCTAGCTGTACAGGGCAAATCACTTTTGAGTTCCTCATTTACCTAAGTTATTAATTTTATTATTAATATATTTTAGGTTATTACCTTCTCAATGGTATGCAGTGTTCTCAGTTGGAGAAGTTTTAGAGTGACAGCTGTGTTTTGGATTTTGTATTAGTGAAGGAAATTATTGAGCTATTTAAATGGATCTTGTTAAAATATTATGGGCAACAAGTTGTACAGAATGAAATGAGACCTTTAATATAAACAAAATATATTAAACTTGAAATCTAATAACTGCTTTGTCTGAATATTAAGCGTGCAGTGTCCTTGCACTGACAAATCTGCCTGATTACTGCTTCACTAAGAAAAAAACTGTTATTAAAAATTCCATTTAAAAACCAAAGCCAAAACATATTTTTGTTTTTTTAAAACTGCAATGCATAAGACACAAAGGGTGGAGGGGGAAGCATTAGAAAGAGAATGGAATGTAACCACTTTAAAATATGAGACCAGAGGAGAAGAAGTGGTTAAAGAGAGAGAAAGGGGTAATAACAAGAGTATAAACAGCACTAAAATATCTGTAAATTAATCTTTTTCAATTAAAAGTGCATATAGTAATTGCAAATACAAACTGAATGTTTTGAACATTGCATAGATGCTGAGACAAATGCTTCTGAATTGTCTTTCTGTTCCTCCCAAATGTAATTGACAGTCCTCCTTGACATTTCAGGGCAGATATGTCCAACATAATGATGCTGCAAAGAGTTTTCTTGAAGGAAATTCAAACAACTTCTTTGTCTGTAGGTTGATGTTTGCACGTGGCTCATTCATGACACTGGAGAACTAGGTGTGGATCTGCTGGAGGTATCACCCCCAAAAGAACAGTTTTTGTTTCATGGTGTTGTGGAAGGATCAGTAATGAAAGCCTTGAAAGCCCTTCATTAATTATAAACCATCCAAAGTCTCTGTAGTTTCTAGTTCTGAGGCAATATTTTGGTTCCATAGTCTGAATTATGAAAATGGTGAACAAAATGTGAATTCTATCTTGATTTATGATGGATAAACCTTTCATAAGGTACTTATTCAGCCTGCTTTTTTCTTAGACACAAGGTCTGGTAAGACTGTCTAATGCTACTGATTCTAATTGAAAAAGGAAGTTATTTACATATACATGACAACTCTTGGGTTATAATGGGTAGGAAACCTTCTGTTTTCCCACCGAAGACTATAGCAGTCATGAGATCTTCTACAAGCTTTCTCTAATTCTGAAGTGAGTAGTTAAATATCACCTCTGGAAAGAACAGGAAACGCAACATAGTGAGTGTGCATCTAAAGCCAGATTCAGATTGAAAATTACATTAGGGACAGGAAATAAGTATCCATCTTCATTGGTAGCATCATATTCCCTGTTTCTGTTTAAAAGATGCATTGGGGTAGCTTGCTCATGAGCTCTCTGTGATTGTCAAATTTGACCCTAAATTGCTACAGCAAAGAGTGTGTATCAGCATTATCTGTGTAAATGCCTGTTAGGTGTTGAATATTCTTAGCACTTGGTTTAGTAGTGCTCCCTCTGGAGTTTTTACTTTGTGCCAATAAACTAGACTTAGAGACGTTGGCTCTGGTCCACCATTTCCTTGTTAAATGCTTAGAATTTGTAAGTGTTGTAACCCTTTTGCCAATGCAAGTAATCCCAATTCCAGCAATTTACAGTTGTCACTTTGTTTTAAGCTACGTTACTGCACACTGACATTCTACACAAAATGGCTTGGATACCATTTAACGCATACCAAACTGGAGATAGAGGGATTTCGTCCCTTATGTCATAATTAATTATTTATTGAGATTTTGCTTTCATGTTGCAGAACTGTGACCTGGCCCAGCAGAGTATCATTCATATTGTTCAGAGTCCACAGAAGAACAGTCCAAACAAGGATGAGACAGGAAATAGCTGTGCTGGAGGTATTCTAAAAGCCTTGGGAAAAGAAACTGAAAGTCTAACTCGCATAGACCTCAGTACCAGCATCCTCCCATCACTCTCTGCAGGACTGGCTGTTATTCTGGATACTACAAAACCCAGCATTTCTCTTCCCTCTGAAAAATCAGGTAAATTTCTGATTTGGTACATTCCAATACATAGACCTGAATATTTTTCTGTTGCTTTTGTAGAGTGAACAGTTCTAAACCACAGGGGGGAAAAAAAAAAAGAAAAAAGAAAAAAGAAAAGAAACCAACCAATCAGCCAAACCAGCATATGGTTTATTTTAGGTATTAAACAAAAAATGCAATTTTATTAAGAGGGATAAGCACCTGATGTGTCTTCTAACAAAATAATTTTACTTTGTGGATAAACAGAGTAATAATATTTTTAATATTTTATACTATTATTTATAGTAGTTATTTTAATATTTTTACAAATTTTTAGAAGCTGGCAAAACCCCCAGAAGTCTGTGGGAAGGCAAAACAAAGTCTCTGTAAAATTTCCATTACAGAAGTTTCCTTAACTAGAATGTTGAGCATCTAATGCATTGCAGATTTGCTTTATTCTTAATCTGTTGTGATGTTTTCATACCCGTACATTTTGTAAGAAAGTATTTCTATACAATAGATTTATTATTTATAAAAACATAGATGGCACAAATTATGATGATGATTCATACTACAGATTTTAGTAGTTCTTCATCCACCCAATTATTGCTGAGAATTATCTTCTTTTCATCATGAAAAATCATCTGAGACACAAGTTACTGTAAATGGGTTGTGCTGTAATATTTGAAATTGTTCATGAGAGAGAAGCTGAAGTCAGAAGGAAATTAAGAACTTTTTAGCTATTACATGAATCTTCTCAGAGTAACTCCCTCCTCACACAGTCAAGCTAATCCTGACAACTGTGCTTCTCCCCAGTAAAGAGACCTCATTCTGTGCAATACCAGATTCTGTTGTGAATTATCATAATAGTATATCAGATATGTATTTTTTGAAAGAACAGTACACAAATACCCTTTATATACAATACAGAAGTTAATACAAACATATAGGTTCAGAACACAGAGCACAATTTGTGAATATGACAGAGATAACTCTTGTGACTAACCTGACCACGGAAATCATGCTTAACAAAATGGCTGCTAAAACCGTTAACGTAACTCATGCAGAAAATATACAATTTGTAGGAGGGTCACAGAAGTATTCCACAACTGACTTGATCAACCTCTTACTGCCAACTAATGATGAATGAGTACAGTTTAGGAACAAATTAGTACCCAGCTTAATGATCCACATCTCCCAATCTGAATGAATAATGAGGTAAGGGAGGTAAATGCTGATTTAAATCTAGAGATGTTAAACTAAAGGCAGGGTTTCAGGCTGAGCTTATTATTGAAACCAAGGCAGTGGTTTGACTTTTTTAGTGCTACTACTTGTTTATCTTTTCACTACTGCACGGCCAGGTTGGATGGGGCTTTGAGCAATCTGCTCTAGTGGAAGGTATCCCTGTACATGGCAGGGGGGGTTGGAACTAAATGATCTTTAAGGTCCCATACAACCCAAACCATTCTATGGTTCTATGATATGTACAGGGCTTTAATGGTTGCACTTGACTTTACAAAATAGTTTACACATGTGGAAGGCCTTTTAAAATTTGTCATGTGATACATTTTTCCACAGACTACAAACTCTGTGAAGCCAAGTACACAGTGATAGGTGTCTTCTATTGCAGCAAATATTTTCGTGGCAGAGTGACAGCTTTGGAAAAAAAATGTTTTGAGAGTATATGTGCATAAGTGTTGTCCTTGATTAAGTTAAACATATTTTTTTATCATAACAAAAAAAAGAAAAACCAATCTAATGACTGACAGTTCCACCTGGGATGATGTTAGTAACAAGTACTTTTTAAAGGCCTGTTATCTTTTCCTTGTCTCTTTTTGACTCTCACTATGAAAACTCGTCCTTGGATCTGTTCAGTCCCACCACTTTTGTTCAATATAGAGGATTTTGATGTTTTTATTATTAAGGTTAGAGGCAGGTTAGTTTGTAGTCAGAGTTCACTGAGTTAAGAGTAGTCTGGATTAAAAATAGTCCATTCAGAATAAAAGAAAAAAAAAATAAATCCAGAGATCAGTTTTCCAGTAAACTTTACCGTATAGTGTGGATTTTCTTTTGCACAGCTGAATATTAGTGGGAATGAGTGGCTGAAGTTTTCATATGCCACTAATGCTGCTTGAAATTATACCTGTCAAGCTATTGTCTTAGAAGGTGGATAGTTGTTATGGTGATGAGTGTACAGTAGAAACCTATGCAGTTGAAGCAAATATGATCTTTTTTTTTCTGTGTGTGAGAGGTTGCAAACAATGAGTAGAGGACAAATTTAAACATACAATTTAGAGTCAGAGTATTCATTCATTATTATTTAGTCTAACATGTTGCACAGCTATTCCATAACTGTAGCAGTAAATATTTGATCTCTTTCTGAAGTCCAAGTTTTTCCTGTTTGTTGCCAGAGGATGCTGCTCCTGTGTCCCTGCCCTGCTTTTATTTTATTTGTCCTCCTTTGAATTCTGAGGAAAAATGTTTGTGGTAACTTTTGCATCACAAAATGTTCTCCCAGAAGGTTTTGCACCATTTGACTGCAAAAGTAACATCATTGAAGTATTGAGTTGAATGCTTGAAGGTCAAACTGTAGAATTTTACCAGACAATCCAGGAGACAGACAGCTTTTGACACTTGCATAACAAAATCTGGAATATCATGCACCATTTTAATGTCTAAGTTTCAAGAAAGCTGCTGAAAAAAAATGTTAGAAGGTGCAGGAGAAGATTCACAAGAATTGTGCAAAAGTGCAGTTCATGATTGGCTTATGTATGTTGTTGTAAACTTGTGACATTTATGGGAGTGGAGATCTTACAAACTTTCAGGATTTAAGCTTTCATTATCTAGAAGCTGAAAGCCAGCAAATATAAATATAACACACAGAGATTTTAATTTGCCAGGAAATCAACCACTGACACATGTTATCCGGGCTTGTAAGAATTATCTGTATTTGGCCATTGGAAAGTAAATATAGGACATTTTTCTGAAACAACTGTCCAGCAAAAAAGGTTGGACTATGACCTAGAAGTAGTGTGGACTATGCTAGGCAGGAGATCAGACTACAGAATCACATTGCTTCCTTCTCTAAATGTATTTATCAATGTCCTGGGTTCAGCAGTAGCAGTCGTGTTTCTCCTTCAGCTACTGCTGAACCCAGGACAATCAAATATCAATGTCAAGCAAATCTGTGATCTAAAAAAAGTATATATGTAGTTTGACAGTAGTTTGATGGCATTTGTTTTCTGTAAGCTAATAATAACGTTGCTTGTTTATGTATTTAATTTCCAGTTTAATCCATTATCAGATGCTTTATTTTTTTTTTATCTGAATTGATTAGATGTGGTCATGATTACCTTACGTCTTTTTCTTTATAGCTTTTAAAAAGGGCTTTTCTGTTGAGTTTGCTAGAATATCCTGGTGTTCTTTAGCTAGCCTTTTAAAAATGCTTGTGTGCAAGTTGCCGCTGTCTTGTTACCTTTCCATGTTTTTCTTTTCTTAGAAGAGGAAATAAGGTACTGGTATACATTGACTTTGGTGTGCCAAGCTATAAATTCTAGCAAAAAGAGGGATTGACTCTTTTCCACCTAGTTAGGAAATGCTCTACTGAAACTTAATATATGTTAAAACCACCTGTCCTTACAAATAGCACAACTATGAATTAGGGAAGGTAAAATTGTCATTACCAAAACCTCAATGCTTAAAAGTATAAAGTGATAAGCTGGTTCCCATTCTATATCTGATATGTGAAAGACAGGCAAAAACTTTTAGAAGGAAAAGCCACAATTTAGGGTTTGGGTAGTCAAAACTGTTCATACTTCCAAGAGAAGCTCTGATGAATTAAAAAATCCAGCAAATCAATTTAATTGGGGATATTGCAGACATTGTACGAACACTTTTTGAAAAGTGTTCTGTTGACTGTGTGTTAAAATTCCTGTGCTCTGTAATTGATATTACATTTTATTATGATTCTTTTAATGAAAAAGCCTAAAAGAATGAGACTTTTTGTGTCAGGTGTGTTTGAAGTAATTTAGTTTTCTAAACTTGTGAAGTATTTTAAAATTATTTCACAGTTTTGTAAAACTTAAAATGTCAAATTAATTACAGATAGGACAATGGTATGGTTTGCATCTCTCCCTCCCTGTTTTTATGTGGTGTTAGGCTCAGTACCCTTACCCAGTACCAAGCTGAGTAAAACTGCAGCTTTTTTTCATCACCTTTTTGAGACTGCCATCAAAACGTGAACACTGATAGATAAAAATGGCCTGCAGCACTGCAAGAACATCTCTGCTGATACACCGATACATGAAGCTCTGTAAGTGTTCAGCAACTGCACCAGACATACCTAAGACAACAATGAAGTTATTTTTCTCATCACCTAATTTTCCTTTGCTGCATCACAAAATGAGATATCTAAGAATTTACTATTCCCTTAGAAAAGATTCTTAAGATTTCTCTGCTATCATTTGGGTGCATTTTTACATGGGAAATGAATCAGTAAAAGGCTTTGTTTCCCGTGGCATCTGTACAAATAATTTGTGGATTAATTCCCCTGTGACAGAAGTGCATGAGGGAGCACTGCACACTGTCCAGGGATTTCAAGGCTTTTTCAGAATGTGGGTCATTTTTTAATTCTCCACACATAAGGGAAAATATCCCTTAGAAACAGTTCTCCTTCCCTGAAAATATTTCTTTCCTGAAGAATCAATCAGTGATGCTGCAAGTAAGTTACTTATGAATTTGAGAGACAGCTACGCTTTTGTTCCTGTTTAGCTGTGGCATCTTCATCTTGGATTGACCGAATGTTGACTAGATTGGGAGTTGAGCTCAGTGATCCCTTCCAACTTGAATATTCTATGATTCTATTCTGTAAATTAATTAATTAAATGCACTTTAGGTACACAATATTGTAAATCAGTAGTCTAAGGTGGGGGGAAGGGGAGAAGGGAATCAGTATTCTGTGCAATTTGCATTTAGTATTTAGGACATTTTCCCAGAGTTATCAACATTTTGTTCTAAAA